TATTCATGTATATAAATTAGCAAAGTATTTTGCAAATTGCAAACATATATATGTTTTGGACTGTGATACCCTAGAATTATTGAAACAGATGAGGCTTTCTTGTAGTTCTTTTTAGATATGTTTTGAAAAGAATTTTAAACACATGCAAGATGTAATCCCAGTACTTTGGAAAGGTGAAGCAGGAGGATTGAACATTTGAGTTTTGCCTAGGCAAGGGTTGAGGGATGTTGCTCAGTGCAAAGGCCCTGGGTTCAATTCCCAGTATAAGTAAATAAATAATAAATAAATATCATTTAAATATAACTTTGAGGATGCTGTTTATAGAAATGGGACCACTATTTGAATATTTTACAGTGTATTTGTTTTTTAACTTGTGAAAGAAAAAATTCTTAAGCTCCTCTATCAACAGACTATTCACAAAAAAAATAGGTCAGCCTCTCATTACTTCTCTATCCCATCATGATCATAATTTCTGCCATTCTTGTTCAGTTCCACCACGGTGCATTGTCTATAAATCCTTTGAAAATTTTCTCTTAAAGGTTAGTTTTGTTTGCCCAGGGAAAGGATTAGTCAAAGTAAACATTGTGGAAGTTAATTTTCACCTGCTATCAGCTTTTGGTAGAAGTTTGTGCATATGTATTGATACAGAGACTTAAAAATTACTCAGAATTTAATTAGCTCTTTAATTTCTAGATTTCCTCAGAGCTATCAACACAAATTACTTTTTTTAATAGGTGACTAAATAAAACAACTCAGGATTAAATTGGAAGGCAAAAGAATAAGTATGTTATGTATTTTTTGCACTAAATTATGAGGATATATTTCCCTCTCTTTTAGGTCTTTATTTAGAAATTTTAATAGAAGATAAAGATTAATAATTACTAAGCTTCTCTTGAAATAACTAGAATGATTTGGTTTTTTTAATTTAAGTTTTATTTCTACAGCAATGTCATATCTCAGTAAGTACAGAAGGAAGTGAAATTCAGATCTTTTTATTTGTTTAGAAAATACTGTCATTTTTAGTATTAATACAGATAGTAATAAAGTAATTTTGTGGGCCAGTATTATTATTATTGAGCCCTTATTGTAGGAAAAATACTATGCTAATAACTTTACATAAACTCTCCCCTTTAATTTCTCCATTATCTTTCGAAATAGGCATAAAGTTGCAGGTATTATTTTAGAGATGTAATACTAAAATGTACATAATTACTTTCTTTTTTGTTACCGGAGATCAAACTCAGGACCTTGCTCTTGTGAGGCAGGTGGCATTCCCAGCCCTTACATAGTTACTTTTTGATGAAATTGATTCTTAAACCAGTTCTTTCTGATTTTAAAAATTCATGATTTTAAAACTATGTTATATATTTTATTTTGACACTATATATATCCAGTATATGTGTATATGTTACATACATATTGGTAAGAAGAGCTCATTCTTATGTGCATTTTCATTTCAAATCATTTCAGTGGAGTAGAACTAAGCCTTACTGAGAAGTACTTTGCATTATAAATTGTTATAGAAACTAGCAAAAGACACTAGCAAAAGGGTAGTGTTTGTCTTCTCGTTAATGTTTGGTTATGATTGTTCACAATTTGTCTTCATCTTCAACTTGAGTTGATTCTGAATTATTCTATGTTGAAGAGGGGTGAATTGAGATCCATAATGCATTTGACTTGTGACCATACTTTGCTTGGAAGGGCAAAATTAACCTCAATTCTACAACATAATTGGGGCACTATGGTGTACTCACTCAGCACACAATAATAATTTGTTGATCTTTGTTTAAGCAATTTTTTTTTTGGTACTGGGGATCAAACTCTGGTCCCTGAGCTTGCACAGCAGGAGGTGAAACCACTGAGCTAAATCCCTGGCCCATGTTGATCTTTGTTTAAAACAAAATGGAATATTATTTGGCCATAAACAAGTATGAAATTATATCATTTGCAGGGAAGTGGGTAGAACTAGAGACCCTGCTTTGTATCATAGTTAACTTTTCTTTAAAAGTGATGTGGACCTTCCTAGGATCTGACTTGTTCTCAAACATTTTTTTTTTTTTGTACCTGTGTTCGAACTTGGGACCTTGTGCTTGCGAGGCAGGTGGTAGAACCACTGAGCCAAATCCCCAGCCCTGTTCTCTTATAATTTTTGATTCTCATAATAACTTAAGAGATAGATAATACAATTTCCTATTTTCATAAGTGTCTGAGACCCAGAGATTAGATAATTTCCAAAATATCTCAAAACTTGTAAAAAGAAGATTGAGAATTCAAATTTGTAGCTCAACTCTCAGCCTATCTGAGTCTTAGTCTTCTTGTCCTTCTGTTTAGGTAGCTAACAGCCCTGGACAGCTCCTGTTGACATTTTTATGGTTAGGCTATGAAGTCTTGCTTTGTGTTGTTTTTCTTTTCTTTTACATTTATTTTACTGGTACATTTTAGACATACACTGTTAATAATAGCTAAATCTTGGAAACAACCCAAATGCCTATCAGTAGATGAATGGATAAAGAAGTTGTGTGTTTTTTTTAATACAATGAAATACTATTCTGCCATAGAGAAGGATAAGCTTGAGACATTTCTAGCTAAATGGATGCACCTTGAGACAATACTCTTAATGGAAATAAATTGGATACACATGTGTAAATATTGCATGGTTTCTCTGGTATGAGAAACTGAAAGTTTAAATAAAGAGCAAAATGTATAAAAAATATTGGGAAATGGGAAGAAATTGTGTTGTTTTTCTTATACCTGGCTCTTTGCATATCATCACACAGTGCATCTATGTAATTGTTTTCAAAGATAATGTCTTTTATATTTTTGTTCCAATCATTAATAAAACTTTCATTATGCATAAAGTATTTAGACAGTTATAGTTTTTAAGTGCTTTGTAAACACTGAAACTAATGAAGCCAGCCAAATACCAGTAAGATAAATATTCTCCTTTATACTAACAGATTAGCTGCAAGCTAAGTGACTTCATAAACCAGAAAGTATGTTGAAATAATATAACTGTGATAAAACCCATACACTCTCTCATCATTGTTCAGTCAGGGACAATGTTTGTCCTTAGTTCTCTTGCATCTTAATTATCATAAAGCATTGGCCCTATATTTACTTATCCCTGTCTCTCAGAATATTTCTGTAAGAGTAGGCACATTCTAATGCATCCAGTATTTATTCAGAGAGTTAAAGAAATGGCAAAATCAATGTTCTAAAGCAATCTCATAACAACTGAACAAAAGATGTATTATCTGCAAAATGGCAAACAGACTTTGGTCACCTTTGCTTTAAGTGCTGACTTTGTTTTTGAAGTTTGGTTTTAATGTTCTTTCTATACATGTATCCCTGTCCCCTCCAAAGCTTTCTACTCCCTTCCAGAGACTGTCTTTGGAAATAACAGCCTAGAGTTTGGAAGTCTCTTTGGACTCCTTCAGTATACTTCAGTCGCTGTTTTCTCATTAGAACATTCATGCTTTTGTGCCTCAGTGGGAAAGATCAATTATTTCAGTGTCAGTAGTGGTAATATTACCCCTAAGATTCAGCAATTTTCAAAGATCTTTTAACTTAATTAGAGGCATTTGTTGTAAATTGAATTAAGCTTGTTAAAAGTGCAATGTGTTATATTAAATGTATGCTACCTAAATTGGCCAAGAAGAAGCAGTTTTAAACATAATAATGAACATGTAAAGTTCTTTCATCAAGTTTTCCAGAAGTTGAAAGAATGGATAAAAATTTCATTCAAATACTTGGTAAATGTGTATTTATACATTTATGTAGGCTATACATTTCATAGAAATACTTGAAATAATGAAGACAAAGCAATAGTAGACTGCAGGATTTTAATAACCTTGTTAAAAACAAAACTGATGCCATTTATATTTAATATATTAATTCAACAATCATATAAAGTATTATAGTTTTTTAAGACAGCATCTTATTATGTACCCCAGGCCAGCCTTGAACTCACTAGGTAGTAGAGGTTGGCTTTGAACTCACTCCTGCTTCAACCTCCTATGTGATGGGATTGAGGTATGTCTCCATGTGTGGCTCTAATAATTCTATTTCAATTAGTACCTTTTCTTTCCAAAAAGTGCCTCCTTATCTTGATGTATTTTCCCTTATTTTCTTGTAAACATGGTATCCAAATGAACTTTTCTAAAGAATCCCTACAAATCAAATCACTTAATGATATACTGCTGTGGATGCATTAGGCTTTCCTTAGCTGATATTGAAAAAATGCTAGTGATTATTTTTGAATTTTGTATGCCTAAGCAAAAAAGATGTCATGGGCTGTGTGGATATTAAAATGGATAAATTAAAGGGTAACCACATTAAAGGATAGGCCAACTGAGGCAGATCATAATTTTGTTTGAAGTCATTTAGAAAACCTTACTTTAAAAACATGCTATTTTAACACATTTGTTTTTAAACATTTACTATACAAAATGCATGGTGCTAGCACCTGGAATATAGCCATGTCCAAGAGGAGGAAGTAGATGAAGATTTGTCCTAATGAGAGTTTGCTGCTATAAATTATCATGGAGGAAAAGAATCTCAACAGGTACTTTATTTTATGTTGCTCAGTGTCAAAATAGCCTGTTTAATTTAAAACTAAAATTTATATCCAATCAAATACAAGCATTTCGTAATGTTTAGGTTTCACATCATTTTCACAGAATCTGGACGGCTTCTTAGTATCATGTTGGTGACTTTAAATTTGTGTTTCCAGCTCTGCTTTCTTTTGAAATCCACCTCCATAGAAACAACTGACTATTGGATGCATCCCCTGGGCTATAACTGGAGCATTTACATAAGCAGGTCATATGAGCTCATCTTTTTCATTTTCTTTTTTCTTCCAACTGAGTTAGTCTTTTTATTCTTTTGGTAATCTGTTCCAGGGTTAACTACTTCCACCATAGGTGATGAAATATATAAGGCTCCACTTCAAATGTTGGCACTGCTGTAAGCATGGTTTTTTCTCCTTCACTGCAACTCAGAATTAAAACTTTGATTCTTGTCTTATATTCCAGTCTCAGTAGTTTCCACTGCAGAAGGTATCTGAAGACAGTCTTATACTTTCTAGCAGTGGTCTGTGACCAGCTTCTATCTTCTCTAAGAACTCTACGATGGATTTAGTTTATACATGTATTAAACTAAGAGGCATTCTCTCAAATGAATTTAAATGCACTTTATTTTTTGACAATCTACATGACATGTTTTGTTTTTTTCCCTAAAAAACAATGCCTCCGCTCCAAATAAAGCACGGTCCAAATAAACGAAGCGTTCAAGATGACGTCAGTCCCGTCTGTCTAAAATCCCAGTGTTGTGTGGATGACAAGCAGCAGCCAGTTATAACAAATGATAGATCCAAGATAACTACCAAATCCATTAACATTTTTCCATTTCTCCATTTCTAAACCATCCTTAAAGAAAATCATAAATGGGGTCACACTGTCCTCACGGTAGTCCAGGAGAGCAGCCGTGCCAACTGGATTCATGTTTGCACCAGTAAAGAACTGATAGCTTTTGAAATTAGCAAGGATGTGCTCGATTTGTTCTGCAGCCCCTATCATAAAAGGCTTTACTCTTTCTGGCCTTTGTTCTTCAAGTTTGCCTTTGATTGATTTCATATAGTCTTTGATGGACTTCTTGTAGGCCTCTTTCGTGAAGCTGGTTTCCTGCAGGTGATGGTTCATGACCATATCAACTCCAGTGACTACTGTGCTTCCAGTACCTTTGCACTCTGGGCCTTCAGCAGAGGCATTTCTACCAATGAGCAAGTCATCAATGTTACCCTCTGTTCTACTGACCATCTTGCCCTCCACCTCCAGGCGCAGCCCCTCCCAGATCTTGTAAATGTCGGAGAACATTTCATCGTGGCTGATGAGGTCCTCAAGGATAATCATGGTGGTGGCTGAAGGTAGACACGGCCGCACTAGCTTAGCAGGAGCCCTGAGTTTAGAGCGAGCGCAGGAGCGGCGCATAGGGGGAGGGGGGAGTGGGCAGAAAAGCACCTTTTTCTTTCAGTTTTATTTTTTATTGTTGCGTGTTTGCAGGATGTAATGAATACATTCATCGTGAGAAGTTGGTGTGTGCACATAACACAGGTCAATTCTGTTTCCATTCCCTTCTGCCCCTGCCTGCCCTCATCCCTTGTCTCCATACCTTCCAGTTGAAAGAGATCTACCTCCCTACTTCCTCTCACAGTGGTACCTTACTTAGTTCGTGAACTTAATTCATTCCACGATTCTGGGGAAGATGGGCGCTTTCGTGTTCGTGTGGGCAAGATAGCCATGGTCTGGTTCCTCACCTGATGCCTAGTTTTTGAACAGAAGCAAAATGTTGCTCACTTTTGTGTGAGAGCTGAATTGTTCACAAGCACTGAGGTATTACGTACCTATATTGTATTTTGCTTTTTATTTATACTTTGGGTTTCTCATATGAGAGGACCCATGCACTATTTAAGTTTGTTTATCTGGTCTACTTCACTTAACATTGTGATTTCAAGGCACATCCATTTTCCTATAAATGACTCAAGTTTATCCTTCTTTATGGCAGAGTAGCACTCTATTGTGAATAAATGTATTTTCTTCATCTATTTATCAGTTGATGGACATAGGGTTAGCTTGCAAGATTGACTTAGGAACTGTGCTGCTATGGACATGAGTATGCATACATCACTGTGATATGGTGTCTTTGATGATTTTGGGAAGACACGTAGATGGGAAATAGCTGAGTTGCATGGGATTTTAGTTATAGTT